ATCATTGCTGATAATCCTTTGTTACAAAAGTTTTAAATATAAGCATTCATAAATAGCTCCATATGGTATAAAAAGTTTCACAAACATCATATTTATAGCAGCTCACGTACTGGTCAAATCCGAATGACAAGATTTGTATAAGGACTGAAGTTGCAGGGATATAGCTAGTTTGCCTCAAACTAAAGAGAGGTGGAAAACTTTTTAAGTCTCTCCCATTCCTTAATATGACAATTTTGCAATAATCTTTTCTAAACTGCAATTTACAGTAATACTATACAGCTAGTAAAATAGGTGAGAGGAGTTGGAAACCACTGATGAATTATTTCCTTGCGTTTAAAAAACCCAAACCCAAACAACCAAAGCCCACAAAAAACCCACCCAAAAACTTATCTAAGCCATCTAATTAAAAAGAGAAATTGGAACCTAACGCAATTTTAAGCATGATCTCTTGGTCACTGGCATGATCAGAAAGTCTTAGGTGCAGCAGCTTGCTGGAAGTATTGTGCACAGTGTTTTGTTAAATGTTTTCATACTAAGATTGAAATATTACTTCTTTTGGATAGTACAGTCTCTGATGACTATGAGTGCTTGTTCTGAAAGTGCACAAAATAAGAACCATCTCTCAAATTGGTAGTGGCTCAGTTCTGAAAATATACTAAGCAAGAAAAAAGGATTCCTTTAAAGTTAAGTTAGTATTAACATTTGATTATGAAGACAGCAAAACACTGAAGTATGTTTCGCACTATTCCATGCAAGGATTTTGCAAGTTTTGCAGTATTCTGTGTAAATGATCTAACTGCATCTTACAGAGAAATGGCACGAGGAAGAGGCATGTCTGGCCTTACTCTTTGTTGCAAGGATTGACTTACGGCTTTGTTTCAACTTCCTGACTGAAAAGTGATACGGAACCGAAGGTCCTTTACCCAAGCAAGCCCGTAACGCCAAGGGCTTTGCATTCTTTAGTTAGACTGGTGCAGATGTCAGAATATGCCACTGTAGTACAATTTAGCACATTCAAAACTGAGATAAATCATACTGACATCAACCCTGGTTTACTCTGATGATGACAGATACAATCCAACTTGACATTCTTTCATGGCTATGAACATCTTAGGGGTATGTTAAAGGAGCCAGCTGCTTATGATGTGTGCGGTAATGATATGAAGAAGGCACAGACTTAAATTCCAGCAATTACCCTGTTGTGAGTAAGAACAGCACGGATGTAAGTAATGGAAGTCTCTTAAACCTACTGTTATCACCAGTCAGACACAGTTACTGAACATGGTCATGTGCCCTGCCCAGCATAAATACAGAATAGAGTAACTTGTTTAAACCATCTGTTTGGGCACAGTTTTAAACAAGCTTGCATAGGGACTACTTGGTCTTAGTCTTGTTAAGATATCCCCATTTGTACTGCAGTATGAAATGAAATACAGGGTGGTGCTGATGATGAGAAAACTTTGATTTCTCTAAGTGCAGCAATGTGAGTTTTAGGTAAGCTGCCATAAGCAGAAAAATGCAGGATTAATTCTTGCTGGTAGAAATGTGTATTCACCCCATTCCTAGTGCCTGTTGATTTTTTAGGAGACAAAGATTACTGACCTCATTTTGATCAAGCAGGCGTTCTCAGAGCGGTCTACGCATTTTGTTGGGTTCATACTAGTGCCTGATAAGCGTCATGCTGCTTAATTCTTCTGAAAGTGAGTTTAAATTAATATTGTAATTAATAAGTCCCTGGTGCCCTTTGGCTACGTACTCTCGAAGGAAATGAGTGATTCACGCTCAGTGCTTCAGTGCTATCTACAACCTGCGAGCTGAAACAGTAATCCCTTTATCCTTTGACATGTTCTCTGTTCTTCTGACACATCTTCATAGCAGGCAAAGCTGTGGATTTGTCTTGCATACTGTCATAAGAGGAAGTAATAAGCAAGGTGTTTCACAGTTAGGAAATTGATTAAAACTGCTTCTCCAGTTAGCACTGAGCTTGAGTTACACAAATGCCTAGAAGCCTTTTCAAGTTGCTGCTTCTTTGTGCGTGCAGAACCCAAGTCCTGTCAGCATGCAGCAACTGTTCGGTGCTGGTACTGTGCCTGGCTCCAAGCACGTCACATCACCAGCAGTAAAGCTAACCAGGAATCAAGTTATAGATATTAGTGTTTTTCACTTGGGGCAAAAAACTTCTGGTTATGAGTAAATTTGCTTAATTATATCCCATTTTTTTCAGAAGTGCCTAAGTAATCTAAGTCCTACTAAAGGGACTTAAGGGTTGGGGACTTAAGCTCCTAAGTGTCTTAGCCAACATTTTTAGAAGTGTGTAACATGCATGTATCCACTAACGTCTCTGGCAATTCCTGAAACCTGGTGCTGCTTAACAGTGTGGAATATTGTACATGCAGTTAAAACAGAGGCCAAAGTGGGATTTGCAGGTCTGGATATTTGCTTCCTCAGGGAAGGTTTGATGTGGCAGGCAGGCAGGCAGAGCAGTAAGAGCAGTCCGTATCAAGCTCCTTGGGGCAGGTTCCTCTGTATAGCCCATTGCTCCCAAGGAAAGAAGAAAGGCAAAGTTAAAAAACTTCCTTTCTTAATTTTCCAGTCACCAGTTCCCCTAAATACACTCTGCTAAGTTCAGCTCTGTTCCATGTCTACTATAAAATCCTCTCTTCTGAGCAACTGACCTACATCTTGTGTAGTATTTGGTCTGTCTTAATGCTGTGTGTTTCGCATGTGACTGAGCATATTGCACCCTGTATTCAGTATGTTGGGTCTGATTTCTAGAAGTGCTGAGCACCTTTGTCTCCTGACTTCAGTGAGGCACACTGCACAGGTTTATTCAGTTTTACTTTAAATTGATTTAAATTTCATTCCTACACAGGTTCCAGATTTCACTATTACAGACCTGTCTTCAGAGTCAGATGATATCCCAGACATCTTGGATTTGGATGAAGATGATCAACAAGACTTTTCACGCACAAACGGCCCTTACACCACAGGGCAAAGAGCTGAATAAAGAGAAGCATAAAAATGTCTTTTTGATACAATGTACTTTTGCCATGTTTAACTTATATTTCTCCTTTTTAAAGATGAACCTGCCTAGCTTAGTGATTTTGGGGATATTTTTTAAAATCAGTACTGTTTCACTTAGCTGCATCAAAATTCTGATTTTTTTTTTCCACCTAAGGAATGCGTGCTACATTAATTCATTAGTGTGGGTGTCAAGCTCTCATTCTACAAGCCAGGTATAGCCTAACCAGTGTATCCAACTGATCTAATCTTTGTTAGTGATTTGTTCTCCTGCTGGCAGCAGCTGTGAGAACACTCCAGTGCTTTGCATAAAGGGCCGCCAACAAAAGGAGTTATGAGGATTTGCCCACAAAATTTCCCCTTTCAGTCTACATGAAAAGCACTTCTGCATCTACCTCTTTGCTGCTAGAAGGGGTAAGGGACTTTGTCCGTCTCAGATTCTCTCGGATTCTTTTTGCTAGACTCTGTACCTACAGAGCTTAGAAGCTTAGAGCTTCCCTTTGGCGAGAGGGCTGTATGCACAAAAGGACTCTCTTTCTCTCTACATGCCTTCCGTGTGCAAAAGTTTTGTCCTTTGTCCTGATGCTGTCAGCTGCGGGGCCTGAGACTAGAAGAGTGCAAATGCTTAAAGAGGAAGGATTTCCAGGAAGAAGGATGAAGGTTAAAGAAAGAGGGAGAGACGGTAAAAAGTAAGGAAAAATGGAAGAAAAAAAGAGATGCAAACCGATGTGGGACAAAAGAAAATTTAAAAGGATTAAAAAAAAAAAGAGAGATACTTCTGGTGACAGTGATGATATTTCTATGTTTAAATAAAATCTCAACCCAATTATTTGCTGAGGAATGTCGAATCCGCGTTTGCTTGCAGACAGTGACGTCTCTAGGAGCGGGGGTTGAAGGGGAACCGGGCTGGAGGCCGGCTCCTCACATTTCTTTCCGAGGACGAGGCTGAACTCGCCCCGCAGACCCCCTGGGTGCCGCCGGGGCGACGGCGGCCAG